ACAAGGACTGTGCATACACTAGGGCGTCCGTAGTGTAGGATAAGCACTGGTAAAAGGTATCAAGAATAGAGCGTCTTGAGGAAATAGCCGGTGTATGGTTATAGCAAGCCTGGGGGGTAAATTTACCACCCGCTTATGCATGCATTAGGTTAGAAATAGGGGTAAACAACTTGTAACGGTGAAGTACAAGTCCTATGCAGCAAGCAGCAGCCAGCAGCAGCAGCAGCAGCCGCCTGCAGCCAGCAGCCAGCAGCAACCACCAACCAGCAGCCAGCCAGCAGCACCACGCAGCAGCAGCGCAGCATCAAGCCGCAGCAGCAGCAGCACCACCGGCAGCAAGCAGCAAGCAGCAGCAGCAAGCAGCAAGCAGCAAGCAGCAGTAGCAGCGGCGTCGTCAGCAACAGCAGCAGCAGCAGCACCAAGCCGCAACAAGTAGCAAAGCAGCAGCTACAAAAGCGGCAACCAGCGGCAGCAGCAAACAGCAGCAGCAAGCAGCAGAGCGGCAGCAGCAGCACCCTTTACACCAAGCACCGCGGGGGGGGGGGGTTAGCTTGATATATCAATCTTTAAGGCACGCAGCCCCTCCCACCACAACATTGCTAAAGCAAAGAAGAACTCAGCTAGCATGCTAGCTTTCGTGATATGTACAAAAGCTTATATATGTAATGGACTGAAGGCACTACTGAAGGCCTTTGTCTGCCTCCTTGGTCGTAGCCCATTGGACATGTGCACCACTTCCCTTTCAAGGGCTTATGTTCGGATACTCGGGACGGGAGCTGCGGACGCAAACCGCGGCGATTTTGAGATTTGAGATCAACATATAGTATTATAGACCAACCTTATCCATATGATTATCTTCGAGGATGACTCTCTTCTGCCCCCAGCTGTCAAGAGATCTGGGCAGGAGCCACAGGAGCACCAGCAGGAGGAAAGGCGCCATGCAAATCTCGACATTGTGTCCTCGCCAGGGATCGACTACATCCTGTACACTCCAACCTTGGGACCAAGGCCAGCTAAAATCGCAGTGCAGTTTAGCCGTTTGGCTGAGCTTATGAGTCTTGATGGGTTGAGATGAGGGAAACTCATCCAAACAGGACTCAGCGATCAAAACCACATTCACAGGCAGTCGTCTTGCTGCAACCCTTCTGAGCACATTTCACACACGAGTCCAAACTTAAAGTAACCCAAAAATGTCCTTCAAACCTTGTTCAATTCCAACACAAATCATACATAACGGTCATGACACAACCAAATCTTTCCTTTCAATGCCCTTCTCTTGGCTCCAAACCACCTTGCCCAAACACCACGATCGCTCCTGCTGTTCGAAGGAGATCGCGTGCGGCGCTTGTGCCACGAAGGCGCGGAAGGCCTGGCGGCCTTCTCTCCAAGGGAGGTCTTCACCAAAGAGGCCGCCCTTCATAGTAAAGGCTTCGCAAGAGAGAGGGTAGGTAATACCTAGGCAGGTCGGTTCTGTGATTGTTTGGTCAATCGGTCGGTCGTTGGGATGGATGCTGGTTGGGAAGTTGGGATGCATCCAGGGAGAGGTGGCTACGAACAAGAGTACACAGGTAGTGTGAATTGTATATAATATATAATTACAGTACATGCAAGTAGAACAACAATGCAGTACAACATGGATATGGTGAGGACAAGTTGCTCGATCAAGGAATCTTTCTCTATCTTGAGTGACAGTGGATGCTGATGGTTGGCGATGGTTGGCAAAGGCTGTCAAAAATAGTGATGCATTGTTACCGACTGATACTGGTGGCAATGAAATGGGCCACACCCTATCTCCATCTCTTCATCACTGTTTCAGGAATAGCACATTGGATGTTTTGAAAGCGTTCTGCAGGCAGCTTTAGGGTCTGGTTAGGGAACCAGGAGCTCTACCACATCCGCAATAAAACTACATGCGTGAAATATATATATATATAGAGAGAGAGATAAGATTTGATAAGTGGATAGATAGATTAAGATTGATATATATATATAGTATATAAGAGTAGCTAGGTATGGCATGATGTTCTTGATTTTGGACATGTTCTTACATCGTGTTGCCATCTTATCTCCCAGGTTTGCATGTGCCATCTTACGGGGAAAGAGTATAAGACAAAGAAAGGTCTGTGGGCACTTAAACCGATTACTGGCTGAGCCCATCTGGCACATCAGAGTGCTAACTGCTCCGATTGGCATGAACATGACGCTCAATAACCAATCAACAAATCAAGTGTTTGATCACCTTCTAGGAAGCTATCTGTTGGCGTATGAAAATGGATGTGTGTGTGTGTTCGTCTGTCTGCACGTGCATGCTAATCTTTGTGTACTTACTCTGCACAGCTGCTCAAAAGAAATCAAAACCGCAGTTGATTGGCAGTCTGATAGTTGATAGGTGCATTCAACATGCATTCGGTGTCACAGTTTCGGCCTCGTTGCAAAGGCGAAGCGACGGTTCACTCTGTGTCTCTCAGCCTGTTTCGATCACCCCCAAGGGTCACTCAGGGCTGCGGGCTTATGGCTTTCAGGCCAAGTCGCTTGTGAAGAAAATATGCCGCGACGAGGACCCCTCATGGGGCAAAGGCAAAGACTCCAGGAAGCCATCTGGCAATCTTTGGCCTTCAGCCAACGCCACCAGGATGATAATGAAGGTCCTTGGCTGTGAAACATGGCAGGTTTGTATGGTATATTGATGGAACATCATATCATATCCGAACCAACCAAGCAGCTTTAAGCCCAAAGCTCTTTCTTTGTGTGGGGGGCACTTGAAAACAAGTATCATTCAGTTGCTTGACAGACTTATTAAATTGGCTGGCAGCAGGCTTTTCATCAACAATGCCCCATGACAATTGTGAACATGAACCAAAAACTCGTCATCCAACCGTGTAAGATCTTCTACTGTTTCTATCGTCGGGGCCCTTCCCCCTTAACACGAGTCCCGACGTCGCACCGCCAAAGGAACGTGGTCAAGTGCCGCCACGCCAAGTGCCGCCAACAGCTTGCTGCCATGCTCGCATCGTTCACATCGTTCGTTGGTCCAAAACCCGGAGACCGACGGTGGCACGACCGGCGACCGACCGACGGAGTCTTCCGGGCACGACCGGCGACCGACGGTGGTCGGTCGGGGCTTTAGGTGTTGCCATGCTAAGTGTTGCGCGCGCCTGGTAGGCGGGTAAGTAAACACAGAAATCATCAAAAAGCAACTTGTCAGGGTATGATGCGAAGGGATGTGTTGAACCTGCTTTGGGGGTGCTTGCATTGAGCTTCGTTGACTTACAGCTGTCTGTAGATGTCTTCCTGCACCGGATATGGCGGCGTGTCCTGCATCGTCCACTATGAAATCTGTGAAATGATACAGTAGATCCAACGTAACGAAGCCTGTCATCTTCGAAGCACTGGGCGAATGTCTGTCGTGTCACCATATCGCATTACCACACACACACACACGTGGCAAAGCCGCACCCATCTTTCATATCCTACATACAGCACGAATGATACCACGACTTCTGCTGACTATGGCAAAACATTCAATTGGCTGGTCCAACAAGTGACCTCCAAAAGGGCAACAACATGCACCACATGAAGGACAGGTCACCTCCGGAGCCGTGTGAGCACGAATAGACATGAAAGTCTTTGTCAATTGCATGGCTGTTTATGCAAACTTACCTGGTTTGAGTCATGAATGTAGCCTGTTGCATCTGCCCGCCGAATTCACATCCACTTTGGCCCGCAGCTCACACGTAGAGTCTTTGCAAGGACTCATCTGCCTTGCTCCTCTCAGTGCGAGCAGCTTCGCCTCACGAAGAAGAGGAAGAAGAAGGGGAGCCAAACTGAACTCTCCGAACATCAATTGACAACAATAGGCCAAAGGGTCAAACAACTGAATGCATGAAACATGTATCACAATCCTGGCACAGGACTGCTCCCAATGCCAATATCTTACACCTCTGGTTTGTAGAGGCAAGTCGTTCTCCTGTTGCCATGTGGCTTTGTCCGAAGCGATCGACAGCCCCTTCAATCCGAGCATCGAAGATCTGCCATGCAGATACATCGCTTCCCCCCCTCCTCGGGCCGCAGCGCTGCCCTTGATGCGGCGCGAATGACCGCATTCCTGGGCGATGCAAGCAGAACGTCCACGTGTCCGAGCGTGACAAGCAGATCTGCAGGTTTGGTGCAGAATCCGTGATTGGTTTGAGGAATGTTCAAGCTAGGGCCCATATTCAGTGTCCTGCCTGAGCTCAAACATTTCCCAATCTGCTGTATGTGTGTACGCCGGGAACAGGCCATCGCACAGTTTAGCATGTGAACTGCAAGCAAAACACCCCTATCACTCTTGCCTAGTGGTTTGGGGAGTTGGCATGACACATGCCCAAGGTCCTTCAAATTCAAACCTGCAATCTACAGTGTGCATGGGGTAAAAGGACAGCAAGCACTGTGCCCCCAGTATAGAATATTCTATATTAAGTAGGAATATATATGTAATTATTAATACTAATACTACACTAGGGTCAAATGACTTTGGCCAAGTGCGTTGACGTGACATACAACTTTCCCAAGGAAAGGTCTAATTCATGTAGAAGTGTAGAACATTGTAAAACCTACAATTTCAGTGGCAAGCACTCATGACATAGGCCATTCCGACCCGGTCATCATCGTTGTTTTTGTTCGTGATGGGTCCTCTTCCTGGAAGATTAGAGCCAATGTCTCCAGGTTTTATCCATCGTTTAGATACCAAAGTCTTAGGTCATGATGCTGGTCAATATAAACTCTATTTAATATGTTGAAGATCGTTGGTGACAACCTCTGGCATCTCTTCTTTTGAGGCTGCTTCAAGCTTTCCTAGGGCCAATCATCATGACTTAGCCACATGAATGTTGAGGTATCTTTCACAACTCCATTGTCATTATAGTATATATATATATATCGAACATGTCTGCTACCCTGCGTTTCTTGGACCTAGCCTATCTATGCCTACCTAGCTTTATCCATCCTACCTTACACCATGACGAGGAAACGAAACCTCGTCGCCCCCGGTGGGTTGACGAAACCTCCGCCCGAGCAGCTGGATGTCTCCACCCGAGAACTTCTCAAATTCCTCTCGCGCGCACGTGCGCGGTCGGCCGCGTGCCGCGACGAAGGCAGGCACGGTGGGGGGTGAGGTTGGGAGATGATCAACAACCCTTTGGAACCGGCTATTTTTAAGGGCTCTGCTTCGTTCAATTGTTTCGGAGCTGGCGGCTACCGCATGCTTCAGATTTGTAACAGCGCACCGAACTGGCGAAACCTGGTGAAAGCCTTGTTGTTCCACAATTTGGTGTTGGTTATCTCCTATCATCTCCTAATATCTCTTTCCTTGTTCGGGATTGAAATGGATTGAATATGCATTTTTGCTGTACATGTGTCCTTTCCAACAACTACTAAAGCATCATGAGACCTGTACTTTCCAGCTCTGAAAAGCTGAGCACGGCATCTTGGCATTTGCAAGTGCATCCCATGCCCAAGCCCTAGACCTCCACACCCTTTCATCTCTAAGAACTCTTAAATCCTCACCTCATCCATCCTCTTTCCATCCCCCCCACCTAGATCCAAGTGATCCAATTCCTCTGTTCTTCCAACCTGCTTCGCCTTCCTCTCGTCCCCCCCCCCGGCCGATCGAGCCCGCTCCGAGGCCAAGGACTGCACGTCCACGTCGGAGCTCCGCGGCGCCAGCTTCGGCAGCGACGCGTCCCACAGCTGGGCGCGCGTCGCCCGGTCCGGCGGCGGGAACCTGCGGATCGAGCGGACAGGCGGCACCGGTGGGGGGAAGCCCGGTGCTCTTCTGTCTGTTTGTCTTCTCCTTTTTGGGCAAGACATGAATCTGATCTTATCTTTTCACCAAAAAAACATCAAAACACATCTTGAAATCTGGACAGTGGGGACTGGAGATGGCCTTGAAATATGGTTCTGCTGGGGGTGTGTAGCTCTATGTCAACCATATATATATATATATATATAATTGGTCCCCAACTCACAGTATGGATAGAAAAAGATGACCAGCACCAAGAACTCAACGTGCTGCACTTCCATATCAATCTGGACTACGAACCAACAATAGAAAATCTGTTTGAGTTCTACCCCATCTGGAGAAGAAAATCCCGTCCAAGCCTTACCTCCCGTTGACAAGAGTCCAATATAATACTGCAAGTGACTCCACCATGAAGCGGAAGCGTCGGAAGAAGGCAGAATCAATAGCATCTCGAGCATTGGTCGTAAGAATGCATAGGCCTGGCTTGCCAAAGAATTTGCACATGAACAATCTGCTCGCCGTGAAGCTTCTGCTTTCTTGACCCTCCCACTTCTTCCCAGCCCCGTAGCCATCGTGGCAACGAACATCAAAACAAGCTCGTGATCGCCGCCGCGCGCGTGCTGCCTGGATAATGCTCCAACCAGTAGAGCCTTAGCCAAAACGCCAAAACACCCAAAGAGTTGAGCACCGTCTCCTTTCAGCTGAGTATGGCTCGGATCAATCATTCAGCCCGGGCTGAGCATGGCAAAGGTGATGGAACATGACTGAAGGTGAGTAGCCGTCGGGGGTAAATGGTGTGCACTCGCTTAAGGTCACACTCATATGACCACCTAAACAGGGAAGCATGATGAGTATCACTCCAGGTGCTGCGGTTATGTAGATGGAAGGTGAAAAGGTCTGTCCCACGAACATGAGTGACTAAGATCCAACCAAAAGTAACTAAACAGTGAAACTTGTGTGCGACCACCGCCATGCGCAAACGTCTTTACACACAACTACTTCTTTCTGCATATATACATGTCAAAATCCAAACATCTCGAACGCTCCATTCCAATCGAACGATGACACGGGGCAGGAGCCCTGAATCCAAGTTGGAATGCTTGTCGACGCCTTGGATTGTTCCAATGTTGCTTCTCCAGACTCTGAAGCTGAGATAAATCACAAACAACTTTTCATGTCAAGAGATAGAGATGTATAAATCTAAGAAAACCTTCGATGACACTGTAGTAAAGTGCGCAAATCTTGTTATTTATCAGTTATAGGGGACTTTGATAGGACACAAAGGTTCTCTCCCCAAAATGTTGCACCCACTTAGAACCCAATCATACCCCATCCAAAGCCATGCACCAAACGCATCCAAAAGCTATGTTTGTGTGGGACGTTCGCAATGCTGTTTGTTCTTGACATTTCTTGACCGTCAAGTAGAAACAAACCATCTTCGCCAAGCTGCTGCTGGCCGCCTCCGCGTTCCGCCGGCCAAAGAGGCCTTCGGCCTCATCGAAGACCAAAATGGCCTCCATAGACCGCGCCTGCCGAGACGGGTTGGCAGGAGTTGGTGGTCTAGTGGATGGCCAAAATGGTGGGTTCAACGGTAGTGGTCTTGGTCAACGCCCCCTACCTGCACGGATGATGTTTCACATCTCCAGGCCAATTAGTGTCAGGCCTGACTTGCCGATGACATCCGATGACCCCTTCCATATCTTCTGTCTCTGCCTCCGCGAAGACCTTTTCGATGTTCTTCCCAGTTTCTCCCACGTACCTGGGTCGCTCAGGATGTTCTCTCAGGCGGGGCCGCCAAACTCCACAAACTACACTGACTCACTCACATGGAGTGCAAAATGGCCCCCTTGAAAGACATTGGATTACTTTCCCTTCCGAACCACGGTGCCATCCACTTCCATGTTGGTGAGTCGGAGTGTAACGCCGCATCGTCTCTTTTTGGTGGCAGGTTTGAGCAGCATCAAGCGGAGTGTACCGATGAACTGTTCATCAAAAGCCCGGGAGGACGACCTTTAGTTGTTCGAACGAGCAGCTTGTCCACGATGTTGGCCGAGTTGACAACTTTCCTGAGTCTGAGTCAAGTGCGCTTATGTGTGCTCATAGTGTGTCAGGACTTGTATCCAAACATGCACCAACCAGCCGCGTTCGGTGCGGTCAGCCATGGGTGACAATCGAGACTCTTCCGAAGCATGGTGAGCCAGGCGATTTGGGCACCGAATTGCTGGACCTTTCCAGGTGAAGAGTGAGAACATGCTGCAATGGGAGCACCATGCTGCACCCATGCGGCGAACCTTCGCCCCGAAAAATCGGAGGATCCGCTCGCTGCCGAGCCACAAGGCACGACCCACTTCGAAGCCGATGGCCTGTGCTGCTAAGGACTTTCCAGTGCCCGGTGGACCGTAGAAGAGAACGCAGGAGCCGATCTCGGGTTGGCCACCGCTGAAGGCCGTGCGACCACCTCAGGTGGTGATACAAAGCGAACAAAAGAAACAAAGGGGTTGTGATGTCGTGGGCTGCCACGTATAGTACCGGAAACTGTATATATATATAGTGGAAGAAAACAAAACCTACATATGTTCAAACATAATCGAAGGCAGCATACTCCTCCCGGAGCTTGGCTCCGAGACAAATAAAAGAAATAGCTCAAGATAAGGGAGTGATAACCGTGCTCACAACCAGGCCTTCAAACAGAATATTTTGTGCACAACATACACATGAGCAATGCGTACTACCCGCTTCCTGGCTTCCTTCCCTCCCCTTCTTCCTTCCCTTCCCCCTTTCCTTCCCTTCTTCCTTCCCTTCCCTTTCCCTTTCACCTTCCCTTCTCTTACTTTTCTTTGCGTCTTCTCGATTTTCGCCACCTTGCCCTCTTCTATTTGAAACCCTCTCGGCGGCAAATGTCATACCCTTCAACTAGAAGATTGGCACTGGCACAAGCAATTTATTCTATACATGTGTGTATTATACTTGCTAGGTGGTTGTGGGATGTCTTAGGGAAGTTCCACCACATGATTTCTGAAGGCATCTCAAGAGCTACTGCCAAGGACCCACAGATCAAACATGATCAAACCCGTTGGTGCCAGTCAGTGTGGAAAGCTGTAGCCAGTTGAGAGTCCTATGGTCCTATGGAGGGAAAACTGGTTTTCTCCTTCAAAAAAGAGTGCAAGATTCTCAGCAACACAGAACGGAGGACAATGACTGACTCACACAACTGGTACGCCAACTTGTCCTGGCAATTGCCTGGTCGACTCTTCCACAGAAACTCTGTATACACATACCTGGATCTTCCAACTATGCCAAAGGTCTGCCTCTGGGCTGCATTTTTGTGGATGAAAAGGCAAACATCTGTCACAGTTGGACGATCTATATACAGTATATACACACCAATTAGGAATCCTTTGGGGCAAAGTGATATCATGTGATAACTGGACCAACTCCATTGCAGTCCAAGCTGCCGAAGCCCCACTGGCCATAGAGAACGGTCTTGGACTTTTCAAAGTCAATGACCTCCTGCCTCGGAGGCGAGGCGAGCGCCCCGTGCTGGTTCCATGCTGAAAAATGCACCCTGCGTGCGTGGGGGCAGCTCGTATCTCGCCGGAAAAGGGGGGTCTAGAGTCTAAAAATGCCTTAAAATGCCTTAAGTGTATCAAAGTAGCGAGTGACAAAAGAAGCATTTTGGAATTTGGGCCTGGCAACTGAACTTCGTTCGGGAGCTGACCAACCGCGGAAATACGCATTGAATTCCTTTCTACCACCGTCATCAAGGAGATCGAGCCGTGAAAAAGGCGTTAGGGGTGCCACACTTTTGTTTTGATGTTTGTTGGGATGTGTACAGCGGTTTGGATGGGTCAATGTATCCCAAGCAGCAGCTTCTTTCGCAAGGATTGCCCGCAAACCTCAGTCGATCAGTCGATCACCAAATGTGATAGAAGCTGCAGGAGAATCAGTAGACCGTTTTGGAAATCATGTTCAGGTCGAATGCTCAAACATGAGTTTCAGTGTCCATGAGCTGGCCATCTTAACTCGTACCTACAGGCCATAGAAACATCATGAAACATCAATATCATATCTCCAACAGTTGGTTCACAATATCAAATAATTAGCCCAGCTGGAGACCCCAATAGCAAGATACAAACCGGGACAAAAAGAACAATCTGGAAACAGCTGCTGTTTTCAACACATCGACCATCTCTTCCTTGGACACCATAATCACATAACCGGAACACCATCACAAAATGACCAGGGCACCATCAAAACATGACCGAGACACCGTCACAACACGATTGGGACACCATCACAACATAACCGGGACACCATCACAAGGTGACCGGGACACCATCAAAACATGACCGGGACACCGTCACAACATG